AGAAACCCCAAATAAAAAAATAATGGTGCTTTGGAATACCCAAGATATATGTTTATGACCCAGAAATGTTTTACTGCAATGAAATGTAGGATCAATTACCTACAACTGTCAAATTCAAGGGAATATTTTTTTTCGACCTATTTTCGTATGCAACCGGATGTGACGTACTATGATTTGGCGTTTTACACCAAAAGAAGACTTTTTTGTTAAATAAACTGAATGTGACTTTTTTCCTTTGTTATACTGGTTATTTCAAGCATTCCTGTCAAGTTTTGTCATAATCAGTTCAATAGTTTGAGAAAAATCTAGTATAATGTAAGACGACATCTGCAGCGATTCGAGCTAAATTTCTTCGAAAAATCCAAACCAAGCCGCATCATGATAGAATATAGTGTGGACCAATAAATGATCAAATATTTATCTCATCTGCCTACAAACAGTTGAATATGATACAAAAGATGACTTTAGGATGATAAATACTACCAATGGACCTCTTTGTCTTCCTTATAAGGTCTCTTTTGGTCCATTTATACCTCTCATTTCCTCAAATTTCTACTTTATAGGCCAATAAATAAAAATTTTGGGGTAACTTTCACTCATTTATGATAGAAATGTTATAATAAATGATTAATTGAAGTATTCAAGCTGAATGAACTATCCGTATAAAAGTTTACTGTCTCCAAGGAGGTTTCAATAAGTCCTTACGTAAAACTTAAATTTACGCCGCGTTCCAGAGAGGGACATAAAAAGCTTCTCTTTTGGTGAATAATTTGTTGTTACTGCTTTAAAAATAATTTCATTTACTTAAAACTATATATTTATTAAAGTATGTCTTAGGAAAAATTTTCTAGTATAGCAGAATATAAGAAAAAAGAAGAAAAAGCTCCCCAAAACTCTAAGTATGGCTTATTCTGTCAACTTATATTCATGGTAAAGTCCTATTTCAAGGAAATTTTCTCATAAAATGTGTTTTGGAGACTCAATCCACTCAGAATATTTCATTATTAGTAATATTTCACTTAAATAGCAAGAAATTTTAACACATGAGAGTACTCACAAGGTCAAAGGTGCATGTACAGCTTCCTATATTAGGTGTAATACCACCATTGATTTTCCCCTATTAGTCTTTGTTAAATTTGCACTTTTCAAAAAATTGTGCAGAATTTATCTTTGTTTCAAATAAAGAAATACTTGGCATGAGTAAAGTTTGATCCTGTCCAGTACTATAGAAAAAACTTCACATAACATTTCATTGCATATAAGAAAATAACCATCACTGGAAGTTAACCAATCAAATTTTCCCCCTTTTTTAACCTGTATACAAGCTTTAGTAACCATGTAACCTCAAGTTTCCAAAATATTCTATAGAAACCCCAAATAAAAAAATAATGGTGCTTTGAAATACCCAAGATATATGTTTATGACCCAGAAATGTTTTACTGCAATGAAATGTAGGATCAATTACCTACAACTGTCAAATTCAAGGAAATATTTTTTTTCGACCTATTTTCGTATGCAACCGGATGTGACGTACTATGATTTGGTGGTATTACACCTATAATCTAAAACTTGAAGATCGTTGATGAAAAAATAAAGAGTGGTGTTTTAACATTCAAGAGTGGTGCTAAAAATACAAGTGTGGAGGAGATACAACCTTAAATAACCTGTGTTGATTGATGAGTATAATGTTAATCTACCATGCATATCATGTATGTTTACCTGAAATCCATGTAAAAGGATAGAAGATGTAGAAATGTGATAAAATAGTATAAACTGTGAACAAAACAGGAAGAGAAATCACTGTCCAACAAATACTAGCTCCAGTTCTCCAACTCTGCACCTGAAAATGTAATGAATAAATATTATTTGAAAAAAAAACAACAAGGTGCATCATACATGTCATATAAACACAAAACCCCCACAACAGGAAAACTATTCCCAGTGTGTCGTCCACAACAACAGGCATACACAAAATGAGTATATACTGTAAACCAACTTATTTTCACGGATACTTTATTTCGTGTTAATAGAAATAAGAAGATGTGGTATGAGCAATGAGACAACTCTCCATCCTAGTCACAATATGTAAAAAGTAAACAATTATAGGTCAAAGTACAACTTTCAACACAGAGCCTTGGCTCACATCGAACAGCAAGCTATAAAGGTCCCCAAAATGACTAGTGTAAAACAATTTAAACAGGAAAACCAACGGTCTAATCTATATAAAAAACGAGAAACGAGAAACACTTATGAACCACATCAACAAACGACAACCACTGAACATCCGGAACTCTTTTTAAAAGAAAACACAAATTAAATATTTTATTTTCAAACTACAAAAATAAGAAAATTCTGCTTTGTGTAAAACATCCTATTTTCAATGTATACAATTATAATTCTAGAAATCCCCAATAAGAATCCTCTAGACTGATCAACTGATCATATTATGTACACATGCATAACTTACTTTTTGGGAAAATGTTAAAAACAAAATATACTGTTTTATGTACCGTATAAAGGCTTGTATAATCAGCGGTTTTATTCTCCAAAATTGATTTGGTTTTTGATTTTTGGTGTTTTAACGCCACTTTTAAGCACGGCTTTTGGGCTATTTCGTGGCAGCCAGTTTTTATTGGTGGAGGAAGCTGGAGTGCCCGGAGAAAACCACCAACCTTCGATAGGAAAAATGACAATCCTAGTCAATTAAGATTGGAGTCAAGTGCACCTGCACGAGCGGGGTTCGAACTCACAACCTCAGTGTTGACTGGCTAGTGATTACAGTAGTAACTACTTAGACCACTCGGCCACCGAGGCCCCCTCTCCAAAATTGAACCTGCCAGACAGGATTGCAGACTATAGAGTACGATAAGCAAGAAATAAAAGAAAAAATTTGATTTCACGAGGTGGTTTGTTTACGTTCCGCCATGTTTGTTATTGATATTGTAGAGGGCACTCTTATCATTTTCAAAATTAACTAGATACCATTGAGATGGGCGCCATCTCTGTGGGCCCAGCTGTGAATAATGTGTGGTAAAAAATTTGTATCTTTATCATTGGACATGGGGTTGTCAAATGAAACCAAAGTTTTTGACCTTGACCTTTGACCTAGGAAGTTGTACTTAAATTATGACACACCCTCTGGTGTTGGTTTATATACATATCAAGTATAAACTTTGAAATCATAACGGTTCTCAAGATATAGAGCGGACACGATCTTTACCATAGGACATGGGGTTGTCAACTAAAACCAAAGTTTTTGACCTTGGAAGTTGTACATACATTCTGACACACCCTCTGGTGTTGGTTAATATACATGTCAAGTATAAACTTTGAAATCATAACGGTTCTCTAGATATAGAGCTGACACGATTTGTTACGGACGGACAGACAGACAGACGGACAGACTGATCACTATAGGGCGGCCGCCATTCGGAGGGTCCCTTATAATTTTACCTAATCCATATTAATAAGTTATTTTTATTCAATATCAAATTAATACTGATAAATTTAAAAATTAAATGCTTCATTGCAAATTTCTCGTTTCTTTTCACTGCATTGCTTAGAAAAACTGGAATCTGCTTGAATGTAACGGAACTAAAAAAGTATAAAAGTCAACTGTAAACCAGCTTACAATGTATAAACTACAGAAAGTAATCCATTATTTGTTCCTTTTTGGTGTTTCATACAGACGCATGTGTTTTGTATTAGCTTAAGATCCTTCAAACATTTATGTGATAGATATATAAAACATTGTTTTACACAAGGATGGAACTGTTTTACTTTCAAAGTCGTATTCTAGTGATATCTGTTTTGTACAGATTTTCTGACTCACCGTTTTTATTTATATTTTACATGTGCTATTCAAACTTCCGGTTTAAACATACACAAGTTTCTAAATTGTTTTTTGTGTGATTTTGACTTATTTTAACAATCGTGAAGTGTTCTAGAATCTTTTGCAAGCAGTTTCAACTTCTGTTCGATGTTGGAAAACAGGTTTTTCCATGCAAATACCGCAAATGACCACACACGATTTGAAATTACCGGAGTTTCTTTAGACATTTTCTAACTGTTACAAAAAAGTATTTTTACCTGAAATTTCGTGGCGAGAAAGGGGGGGGGGGGGGGGCAGACAATGTACCAGTGCAAACTATACAAGCCCAGGACCAGTTTTCTTGCACCCCTGTCAAGACAGTGATATTGATTGATTGTTGGTTGCTCAACGTCCAGTGGCAAATATTTCATGCATGTTCAGGACGAAACATAGTGATAGTTCTCATTGGCAATCACAGCAAATTTCTTTCTGTCTATATGTGGGATCTGTTAATCTGGATTTGATTATATAATCGATTTGTGGTGTTCAACGACATATCAACACACTTGACTATATCGTGTTTAAGAAAAACTGATCAAAACTGCCAAAAAGTAAAATCACAAAAATACTGAACTCCGAGGAAAATTCAAAACGGAAAGTCCCTAATCAAATGGCAAAATCAAATGATAAAACACATCAAACGAAAGGACAACTGTCATAATCAAATTATCATATCAAAGGTGTTGAGAGTGACTTTTTTTTAACATAATAGGATCGATGAAATCTGCAGATTCACTACAACTGTGACAAGGGCAAAATATCATGAGATTTCAATGTCAAACCTCTCGTTTGAACCACGATTCTATCGTTTCCATACTAAATTTCTCATGTGTTCAAAATAGGCGCCATTCAGACATTTGGAACTTTTCAAGACTTTACTTTGAAATGAATAATAAAATAATCAACCCGAAAAATCTCCACGTGTTTGCGATACTTTCTGTTCCTTATAGGATGTGAAATTAAAAGTTCAGTCATTCATCAGTTAATATTGTCTTTTATGAATTGATTTTTATAACTAAATGAATTTTCTAGCAAAGAATAAATTTTATTTTGGAACTGGTTTAATTTACTTTTGTTGCTTATAATTCATATTGAATTCAAAAATGAAAGTTGAACCAGTCGAAGGGCACCTGTTTCTATTTTAAGATATTAAAAACATGGCTGGTCATACTGCTGGTGATCCATTGGAATGTTACAGTGTAAGAGCTATTTTGTGATGAATTGTTATTAACGATGAAGAAGCTGAACAAGTTGATAAATGCTTGCTTAATTCATGCATGATGAAATACTTTTTAAAGTTCTCTTGACACCAACAGTCGCTGTGGCAACAGAACAAAAAATTGCTTTGAAATCCCTATAGCTTATGATTCAAGTCAGTGCAACCCTCTAAATTATACCTAGATTAGTGCATTATACCTTAATTTGGATACCAGTATACAGAAATTGGTGTGGAAAGATTTTTAGTCATCTAAATTTTATTTTACCTCTCTGAATTGTCTGACAATCAAACAATTCAATATTTCCAACATGTAAAAATTATTACTTATTTTGATTAATCAACTGAATCAGTATCTGATTTTTCTGCAGAAGTGTCTATCTCTTAATTCAGTTTTCGTATTTATATCTCTTGTGTCATCATTGTTGCCTTCAAACTTCATTTCAATGTTTGTTTTGTGTGAGTCATTTTGAGTGTGGATTCACATGGTAAATGCATCTTCGCTAGCCAAGCATTACAATCAAGGCCCATCCTCTACACCCTTGGCAGATTAAGACAGATTTTATTAATACAGCGCTGCACCATCTATTGAAGATAAAAACCGCACCCACTTTCTTACATCATTCTTGATCAATGAGAGCACTTGTACTATTAGTAGTTAATAAGTGTAAAATATGACTGTGTTTAGTGTTTTCAGGAAGCACTGCCCGCTGCAACCACATATATAGGTTGACATTCTGTTGTCTGCACCCTAAAGCTTCAATAACTTTATTAAGAACTTTAACACTGTCGACATACCTGGTCTCTCTCCTTTTGGAGTTCATGCAATTCCATCAGTTTTTGTTTGTTACTTAGCTTTGTCTTTTTATTCGACTTATGAGATTTGAACATCATATTACTATTGCTGCCTCTATTCATGGCCATTTTCTGTTTGTTTGTTGAACATACAGAATGACAATATAGGAGGATTGCTGGTTTGATGTCTTAGTTTTTGTAGGTTTTTTGTTGAGTATTCCTGATTCTCTTAACTGTTTCCTAACTTTTTTTTGACTGTACCTGTAGATAATGTATTTCAAATGGAATAGCATGTCCTAATTTTAACAGTGATGTTTTTTACCAAGCTCAGAAATTTAGATACAATCTGGGTAAACTTGTCAATCCTTTAAATAAACTTATTCTAAAAGGTTACCAATTCAACACTATAATTAGATTTTTGAATATTGTTTTTATTTGCATAAATATTGATTTTGTTATCAGTAAATTAAAACCATATTTAATGTTATTGTTATACACATATGCACATTCAAGATACTACAATCTGTCGATATCTATATATTGGCATTGCACAAGGTTATGTTTTTCTCTGACTTGTAATGACATCATTACACTAAATCCATTGGATGTTGGATGTGTACTGATTGATATTTTAGTCTAAGATACATGATTTATGATTAGTTGTTATTGGCCTTGAACTAGCTGCCAGTAACTGTGAGTACTCTCAGATCTGTACATTGTGTCTTTTTTGTTGTGTGGGATGTATAAATACCCTGCCATGTCCTGTCTGTGTTTTTGTTAGATGTTTTCTGTTTATATCGATCTGATGAGTTAAGCCCTTTTCTACTTATTCTTATAGTTTGTTCTTATGTTGTACTATTACACCACTGTCCAACGTTAGGGGAGGGTTGGCGCCTTCAAACATGTTTAAGCCCGCCACATTCTTTATGTGCCTGTTCCAAGTCAGAATCCTGTGGTTCAGTGCTTGTTATTGGTTCATGTCTGATATATTTGTTTTTTTCGTATATTGTTTTGTTATAAATTAGGCCGTTATTTTTCTCAATTGAATTGTTTCATATTTTTCATGTCAGGGCCTTTTATAGCCTATACAGTATGGGTTTTTCTCACTGTTGAAGGCCGTATGGTTGCCTACAATTGCTTACATCCACTTTATTTGAACTTTGGTAGATTGTTGTCTCTTTGGCATTCATCTCCTTACTTTTATATGTATTTATTTGTGTTGCTTAGTGTAGTCCAAAATTGGTATTTTTCACACATGTGAAATGATCATGATGATGACTCAAGGTATTTTTTCAAAACATCTTCTACAAAATTTTCAATCAATGTAAGGTTTCATATAGATAAGCTACGTGAACCTTTTCATTTAAAAAAAGCAGTCAGTTTTGTAAAGGGGTATGCTTCATTTGGGAATTAGCTAAAAAAGGTCCATATTGTGTCTAGCAGTAGATATTTTACAATATCTAAATAAAAATTAGATGTGGTGTGATTGCTAATGAGACAGCTATACACCAAAGTTCAAATGAAGAGGATGTAAGGAATTATAGGCAACCGTACGGCCTTCAACAATGAGAAAAATATGTAAGGAAAATCCAATTAGGAATAGTATATAGTTAAGGTTTTCAAGCTAACTTGAAGTGCACATGTACTTATAATAATAAGGCTTGATAGGTTTGGCACAGCAAATTAACATGATTTAATATAAAAGAGGTATATTCAATTGCATTGTAAACAATTTACATTCGTAGTTTTTCATAGTTATTACATTTTAAGGTAAGAAAGTTTAATTTTCCTTCATTTTCCCTGTTTTTACAGCTTATCTCACTAAATGTTCAAAATAATGGCATGTCAATTTTTATGAAGACTTTCTTACAGTTTTAACATAGTAGCTTTTTTTACGGAGTTAATGTATATATAATGACCTGATTGGTTGTTAAGGAAATGTCTGCATTTGACTTGATATCTTCAGTGGCCTTGTAAAGCAGTATTACTGGATACAGAAAATGCCAGCAAAATTTTAGTGAAAATATGAAAAATTATTTTAAATTTAAACTGTTGTAGTCAGCCAATTGCTCACCAAATTTTTGAGAAAAATACATTCATTGGGGTAGCATGAACCATGACTCAGTGTCTTGCATACCAGTGATTGTCTTAAGTTATGCTTAGTGTATTTATCCCTTAAAAAATAGTGTCGATTGCAGGTGCTTGGTTGTTTCTGTTAAAGCTATTCACACTTTGCATAAACTCAGTTATTTTGAGCGGACGTGTGATGTACACAATATAGGTGACTATCATTATATACCTATGTTGACCATGTTGACCTTTGATGTCTTGGTTTTTGTATCCTTGAGTTTCTGTCTCATTTACATATATATGTATAACCCATTTCTCCCTTTATCCATATATTTTGAATCAAGATGATGGGGTAAAGATAATATTTTTTTTCAATTTGTTGGATAGAAAATCTGGGTTTTATTAATCATAAGAAAGAATATCGGGTCTGGTTATATATGTATTACTCTGATAGTAAAAGTGCATTTAACTCAAAACAATACACGTTATTAATACCTTAACCCATATGCAGCATGGCTATCTCTTTACATTTAATGAAAATTTAGAAAGAAAAAAAAAAAAAAAAATGCCTGTGTTTAAACTGCTTTCAAACTATGGGAAATGATGCACTTTGATTTTATTCTTAATTGCTATCTATCCTTGGTATCCATTAGACTGAAAACAAAGATTTTATAAGAAATTCATTAAAAGAATTCCCTTAAATTGATAAATATTTATATTAATTGTAAGGCTTGCCTTTTGGGGAAAAGAGACCTTCAAAGTTCCTTTCAAAAGATTGTTTGAAAGAAGGTCTGACTACCATTAAAACCATTAAAAACAGACATCAGCCATTTCAATTATTTTATATAATTTTAGATTCCATTGGTATTGAATAAAGACCCTGAACAAGATGAGTTAGGTAATCCTATAATGGGAGCTGATGGCAAACCAAAATATAGATGTGGATTTAGAATTGGTGGAGGAATAGATCAAGATAATTCAAAGAGCCCTCAAGGCTACCCTGACAAGGTAACTTAAACATGATAAAGACTTATTTGAATGGTTGGCTGTCCTTTCTTTTATCGTTAAATTATGCTTATGGTTTAACAGAAATTATTTATTGATACAATGTGACTTTACATACAATCTATATCAACTATAGTACAGCTATACATTTGAGTTATTCCCCCTTAGCTGTTATTTTAGAAAGAGTTTTAATAAACAATTAGATGAGTAGCTAGTCTAGGCATACCAGTGTTTTGTACCTATACTGTGAACTAAAGAAAGAAAAAAATACTTTTGATTTATAAATAGTTTAACATCATGTTCTGACACTTGTATTTAATTAACTAAGTCTTGTCTTATACTTAGTTTATGTGATTATAGCTTTATTTTCATTAGATATTTTTGATTGTCTATTTACAAGTACATTGTTCCTGATTGATGAGATCTCATTCAATACAAGGGGAGGTAAATAAGCATTTTTTTTTAGAAACATGTTTGAAGACAAAGTCAAAATTTACCTTCTCATTTGTCAAATATTTTTGGAGAAAAATCATAGCTTTTGTTAGAAAATTTTTTAATTTGTGAATGATTCAGGTTTATGTAATAATAATACCCCTGCTTTGAAAGGGGGTATACTGAGTTTTATCCTCAATGCTCCAATCCATTGTGTCTGTTCATCCCATAATATTTTTTGTCATGTTTTTCGCAGCAACTACAAATCAGAGCCTTCTGAAATTTGATATCAATCTTCATGTGAGCATAACATGATATATGTGATGCATTTTTATATTCAGTGGTCTCGTTAGCCCAAAATAGAAGGGCGCCGTGCCCTGGGTGCCCTCAGCCGCGCCTTGGGTGCCTTCATCCGCGCCCTTCTGCCCTGACGCCTTTTTCCCATAAACCCTTGTGCCGTTTTTGTAAAATTGCCTTTTGTTTAATCGATTTCTTATCACAAAGTTAAATTACATATATGACACCAGGTGATTGCCCCCAGGTTAATCATGTCATTACAATCAATTACAGTGGATAAGACTTCAAAGGTGTTAATAACTAGGTAATTTAATTAAGACAATGTACCTTTTTGTCATAAATTTGATGAATGTGTCAGCGAGTGTTTTTAGTTTGGGTCTGGGTCGGCATTTTCGATCTCCAAGAAGAGTGTATAAATGAAGACTTTCATGACTTTAGAATAGAATTTAAGTCATCAAAATACAACTATGCCTTCACAGAAACACCGTCCATCTCAACTTGTGAGCGACAAGCAAACAGTAAACGTGTTAGAAATTTATTTTGGAGTTACTTCCCCTGTTTTAGCTTATTACAAATTTGTGCTCCTAAAATATTATCTAGTATCAAAAACAGGAATAAATTACCAATTGAATACAAAATTATATAAGAATGTTACCTTAAGGATATTAATTGTCTTTGAACATACCAAAACAAATATATTGCAATTTATTTTTGATAATCATACTTTTAGCAATCCATGTTCTATACATTGTCAATTAAGAAATTTATAAGTTCATTTGTTATGATGATGTTAAGCTGCAGTCCTTCAAAAATGGGTAGTGAGAAGTTAAACTATCATGACATCAACTTGATGAAGCTTTACCAGATAATTCTTTAACCCAAACAATGAAAAAAAGTTTTGAGGGCCAAACTCTAGCTGAAAATTTTGAAATAAGACAACTCTGTCACATGTATGCTAAACTATGAGATGTTTAGTTTATGTTGTTTTTTTTTTTTTTGAAAAAGGGGGGGGGGGTATAGTTAGTTAATTTGCCTCTATTGGTTTATAGTGATGTGATGTATGAATGTGTATTGACATGTTTTATGAACATGTCGTATGAATTACATTTTCTAATGCAAATTTTATAGAATAAATAATCAAAACAACTTATGCATCTTTATTAACAACATATACAGCAAAATAAAAAATGTGAACTCATGATACACACAGAAACATAGACAAAAGAAATGAGCAGTGCCTTTTCCTTTCATAAAAAAGTGCCCTGCCCTCCACTGGCACCCTGCCCCTTTTGATTTCTAGCTGGAGCACTGATATTCATCACTCATCCACACTGAAACTTTCTTAGACATAGTGGCCATGTATGAAATTTTCATCACATTTTCTCAGGAACTATTCAAGGCTTTCTGAAATATGGAATCAAGCTTCATATGATTATACTAGACCATGTGATGCATTCTTTTATTCATTGCTTTGACATCCCACTTCCTGTTTACCAAATACTTATATACTTATACACATAATGGCTATGTATGTCACATTTTTTCAGAAACAACAAATCAAGGCTTTCTGAAATTTGGTATCTGGCTTCATGTAAGCATGCTATACTGTGTAATGTGCTTTCACATTTATTGTTCCTCATCATTCTGTTTATCAAAGATACTTATAGCACAAGTATCTTTTGTGAGTAATAGCTCACAGCTCAATTTGTTTGAGTAAGAATTACTAGCTTCAAACATTTTTTTATATGAACGCTGCAAATTATCTTTCTTGGATGAGTTTTTAGATGGAAGTACTTAGTCAAATATATGAATGAAATTGTTATTTCTTTGCTGAAAAGGGTTTATTATGAAAATAGAGATTGTTTTTTTGACTAGCTTTCTATCCTCTGAAACTACAAACAAAATCTTTTCAAACTGAATAGGTATGATGATTGACAGACTCTTTGTAAAAATTCCTCATTGTATACCAATTTAGGGCATTTGTCACAGAATATTATAGGTTCGACAGAACCATCTGGAAATCTTATTCCCATCTTTTTTAATCTCTGAAACTGCATGGCATGTTTGAACTTACATAATTTATGGATTTTTTTATAACTATCTACTGACAACCATGGCTATCAGATGCAATTATTGATTCTGATTGGGGAATTTTTCAAATTCTCCTTCTCTAAAACTTATAAAAAGTCTCAAGTAACATATGTGTAGTTTTTCCTTGATCACATAGACTTTTAATTTTACATTCATTCATTATCATAGGTAATGAATTGTGGTCTTGTGGTTAACCATTTGCCTCGAGTGTGGGAGGTCATGTGTTTTATGATGAAATTATCCCTGGCTAGGTCAAACCAAATACTTTAAATTTTGTATTTGCTGTTTATTTGCCAAGCACCAGCTGGAATTAAGCAGTATTTGCAAAGAGAGTGTGTCCAGGTAGGGCACTGTGTTGACCTATAGAATATTTCCTTATGAACTCAAAAGGTCCGAAAATATGCCTGACCGCCTGACTTTTTAGGCAAATTTGGGTAGGTCAGACAACTATTGCCAATTGTCTGTCCAAATGTCAGACAATTTTTTTCAATTTTACTATGTAATCTTTATATCTGCCAGGCAAATCATGTTTTGGTCAGGCAAAATTGATCATTTTTCTGACCAGATATCAGGCACAAATTTCAAACTTTTAAGACGACTGATTACTGAGTAATTCAGGTTTATTCATATTTCATCGATATTGTATCCTCCTGTATATGTATGTAATATTTACAACTGGATTTTTAGCAACCATCAATCATTCATGGATGAAAATTTATGCAGCATGATATTCTTCCTGGTCCGATTCTTGTTAAATAATTGTGAAGATAATCATGTGATAATTGTCAGTTAGAAAGAATTATTGATTAATATAAGACAACAATGCTTGCATGCCATGTCAGTATTTTTGCTATTTTTAAGGTTAACCCTATGATGTGCTCTTGTCTCTCCTGTATGCCTTGGGCTCAATTTTGTGTTCAGTTCTGTGAAACATATAATTACATCCTGTTTGATGTACAAGAAAATAGTAGTGTTAAACCATATTAAAAGAATTAAGAATTTCAAGATATCAGACCAAAGTATAAAACCACACTATCGCTTGTCGATCTGTTGAAAGAAAGATTTGTTCTAAACTTTGATTGATATGCCATGATTGTAAAGACAGATTCTAATTTTGATATTAAACTGTTAATTATTTCAATCATAGTGTTTGATCATAGCTTTTATTACTTTGATTAAAAAAGGTGTATTATACCTTTGCATGTTTAGAAAGACTTGTTTATAAATAAACACTGAAATAATAAGGAATCTTTTGTTAAAGTGTAATGTTAATACTTTCTTTCAGAACCAAACCCCTATGCAAGAGGATATTAGTCATTAAAATCAAATTACCTCTTTTACAGTTTTTAAATGTTCAGAACTTTTGTATTTTTTGTGCTAAAGCCAGTTTCTCATTTACTATAAGTAATTTGTCAACTTTATTCTGTGTATAGTATGATATAAAATGGTTACATGACTTTGACCTCATTTCCATGGTTCCATAATCATTGTTTAATGCTTAATTCCGTTTAAATATTATGAGTTGTAGGCCAATTATATTTAATTCATAGAATTAATTTTGTGGTATACATCAAAGATAAATGTTAAAGTTTTTCTACTTAGGCCAGTTATTCCTTTACTATGAGTAAATAGTTCATAGGTGAAAATGTCCATCTGATAGAAGTCACCTGACTTTATCTTTTTTCACTGTTCAATGATCAACTTGTGTTTTCCTGTATAGGTCAGTTTCTCATTAATTGGGAAAAATAGATCAGCCATATTTGGTAAAGAATGTGTACATTGATAATTTGAACCCTCCAAGTTATTATGTATTAAGTAAGTCTGCAAAATGAAGTTGGTAGACTTCTTTTTTGCTCACTTCTACTTTCTGTCCAGGGCAATTCCCCAAAACCACAATTCAGATTTACTTAAGATTTTGCAGTATGTTAGGATTGTATGTTTAATAAATTATAATGAATAAATTAAGTATTTTATTTGCATGGGGGTCTATAAGGGGTTGTTTTAGGGGCCGAAAGAAGAGTGGGATTTACTAAAGAAAGTTATTGGAAAGTATTTATTGTCATGTTTAAATGGTTATAACTTGAGAACAGTACATGGGTAAGTGATAAGAGACAGTAATGGTTATGGAACCATTGGACCCACTTGAGCATCAATGTCCAATGCTCAGGAATGACCTTGAACCT